TGGCATCAAGTGACCCCAGCACCAGCACCAGCACCGCACCGTGAGCCTCACTGCTGGCGGCTGCACTCGGCTAAGCAGCTACCACGGCAACCCCCTTCAATGGGCCATTGCGGTAACCCTGGGCAACCTCCCTCAGGCTAGGACCAGGCAATGTTCTCAGACGCCGGGGACATTCCTTGGGTGCACAAACAGTCCTCTCAGGGCCGCAGAGCCAGGCCCCAACCTGTCTGCCAGCCCTTTGGGGAGCTGGGTGGGTCACCCTCTTGAGCTGCTCAGGGCACCCAAGAGCCTTCATCCCTCAAGGCGGGCCAGGGGTGGGGGTGGGGGAGCCGGCCCCCTGCACAGCTGTGTCCTACTTGCCCGAGGCCGGTAACCTGCCTTGGCCTCGCGCTGCAGCCCTGGCCCTGCCCAGCAGCAGTGTCTGCCCCAAAGCCTGTCTTGTCTGACACCAAAGCTGCTCCTACCCGTACAGAGGGTTTTATCTTTCTTTCTTTCCCCTCCTCCCTTCCTCCCTCCTAGAGGCAGAGGGAGTCATACACACAGAGTTCTTCCACTGCTGTTCACTCCCCCAAATGCCCACGAGTTCCAGGAATGGGCCAGGTTGCAGCCAGGAGCCAAGAATCCAATCCAAGTCTCTCATGTGGGTGGGAGGGGCCCAGTCACTTAAGCCACCGCCACGGGGTGTGCACTGGCAGGAAGCTGGAAATCAGGATCAGGAGCCAGGAATCAAACCCAGGCACTCCAGTATTAGATCGGGGCATCCTAACCCACTCAGAGTATCTTTTTCTATCCTTTCTCTTACAACTTTTTTATGTCTGAATCAAATGCGTTTCCCTTATAGATAAAATATGGTTAATTATGTTTGATGTTTTCTTTTTTTTCTTTTTCTTTTTTTTGACAGGCAGAGTGGACAGTGAGAGAGAGAGAGAAAGGTCTTCCTTTTGCCGTTGGTTCACCCTCCAATGGCCGCCGCAGCCGGCACACCGCGCTGATCCGATGGCAGGAGCCAGGTGCTTCTCCTGGTCTCCCATGGGGTGCAGGGCCCAAGCACTTGGGCCATCCTCCACTGCACCCCCGGGCCACAGCAGAGAGCTGGCCTGGAAGAGGGGCAACCGGGACAGAATCCGGCGCCCCGACCGGGACTAGAACCCGGTGTGCCGGCGCCGCAAAGCGGAGGATTAGCCTAGTGAGCTACGGCGCCGGCCTATGTTTGATGTTTAAACAATGCATTCTGCCAGTCTCTGCTACTGCTGTGGTAAAATGCATCTCACTGTCAAGGGCTCAGTTTGACGGCACGATGTCCACGCACCACGGTCCAGTTCCCAGACGCCTGAGTCTCCCAGAAGGAAGTCCCTGCCCTCAGCCCTGGGAACCACGGACGCATCTGTGTATGCGGATTTGCCTGTTCTGGATGCTTCATGCAGCGGGAAGCACACAGCCCCTGGTCCTGCTGTCTGGCTCCTCACTCAGCACCGGGAAGTGGGGAAGGTTCACTCACACTGCTGTCTGGCCTCTTGCCTGGTGTGGGTCCCGCCCTGGACAGACTGGGTTCCTGCAGGGAGGGGGGAGGGAGCCTGGCACTGCTGGGATCACAACGCACGTCGGTTTCTCTGCTCAGGCCAATCTCTGAGCAGCAGTAACAGCAGCTCCAGACGGGGCACCTGGAACTTGGGCAGCTATGTGCTGGCACTTCCCACGCATTTTCTCACTCAGGGTTTGCTCCTTCTTCATATACTTAAGAGGCAGAGAGACAGAGTTCCTATCCACTGGTTCTCTCTCCCAGATGCCCCCAATGGCTGGGGCTGAGCTGAAGCCAGGAACTCAACCCAGGTTTCCCAGTGGGCGGCAGGAACCTAAGTACTGAGTCCTCACTGCTGCTCCCAGGTATTCATCACAGCAGGAAGCTGGAGTCAGGAGCTGGGCTGCAGGTGTCCCACCTGGCACCTCAACTGCTAGGCCAAACACCTGTCCCTCACTTAGTATTAATTTTCTGGCCAGGGCTGATTGGGCTGGTGGGGGGAGATGAGAAGGCCTGGGGTCATGCAGCGATGCCGTTCTCTTGCACAAAAATTATAACCTTAAAACCCAGAGGCTGGCAAGTGGAAGTTTAGAGGCACAAGGGCTATCTTCTGGCCTGCAGGATTCAGGAGCCTGTCCAGCTGGGCCCTGCTGTCCACCCATCATGGCCTGGACATTCAGGTGTTCCTTGGCTCCCGACAGACACCCAATACCCTTCAGCTAACATGTTTTCTCTGCTTGAGGCGCATCTTAACCAACCCAACCAGGGATGACTGGATCAAGTAAAGACCAGTCCACACAAAGAAGGGAGTGAAAGGAACAGAGCCCCGACAGCCTCTGACACCCGCCCCAGCCTCTGACACCCGCCCCAGCAGACAGGATCCTTGCGGACAACACACTCAGTGAAAAAAGCCAGGCTCAGGAGAGCACGCAGGGGTGACTGCCTCTCTGCTGAGTGTCGAGACGGGCAGCGCTGGCACACAGGAAGTAGACTGCTGGTTGCTGGGGCTGGAGAAAGGAGGAGCAACTGGGAAGGCAGGGGTTTCCTTTCACGGTGACAAAGTTTAGAACTAGATAGAAGTGGCAGTCGGAACACTGCTATTGGATGAAATATCACTGAACTGTTCACTTGAAAAAGTCGACTGCGGGCTAGGCATCGTGGCACAGTGGTTCAAGCAGCCGCTAGGGATGCTTGTGTCCTACGTTGAGGTGCCAGTTCAAGTCCTGGCTGCTCCACTTCCAACCCAGCTTCCTGCTCATGTATCCTGGGAGGTAGTTATTGATGATGGCTCCAGTGCTTGGGCCCCTGCTACCCATGCGGGAGACACATGGAGTTCTGGGCTCCTAGCTTCAGCCTGGCACTGTGCTGGCTGTGGTAGGCATTTGAGTAGTGAATCAAGAGATGAAACATCTCTCTCTCTCTCCAAGAGGATAAAAACACACATTTAAAAATGGTTTATATTTTGTGACTTTATCTCAACTTCAAAAGAAGAGTGTTAACCCCTGATACTCAGAAAATCACCCTGACTCCTAGGGAGAGGCTGTGACACTGCAGCTGGGCACACAGCAGTGCAAGGAAGATCCAGGATGTGCCACCTCCGTGAAGGGGTGGGCAATCACTGGCTGAGCGGCCGACTCAGCCCAACAGCTTGTCATCACCCTGACTGACCCCCGCTACCCTGGACCTGTGCAGGATGATGCCAGTCTCACGTCCGCCCTCAGCGTGCAGATGACCCAGAGGCAAGGCACAAATGCCTGGGCCAAATCAAATGTGCTTCTGGGGCTCAGAGGGAGGGTGGGTGGACACAGATCTGGGAGGCTGGGCTGTGGGCCAGCAGGTTCAGCTGCTGCCTGGTGTGCCAGCATCCCATATGGATGCTAATTAGAATACCAGTTTGGTCTACTTTTTAAAAAAATATTTTATTTATTTGAAAGGCAGAGCTAGAAAGAGAGAGAGAAAGGTAGATGGAGAGAGAAAGATCATTCCCCAAATGGCTGCGACCGCTAGGGCTGGGCCAGCCTGAAGCCAGGAGCCAGGAGCCTCATCTGTGCCTCCCACGTTGGGGCAGGGGCCCAAGTACTTGGGCCATCCTCCTCTGCTCTCCCAGGCACAGTGGCAGGGGGCTGGATAGGAAGTGGAACAGCCGGGACTTGAACGAGTGCCCATGTGGGATGCCAGCGTCGCAGACAGCAACTTAACCCGCTACAGCTCAATGCAGGCCCCGTCTATGGATCTTACGCTTCCTAACGTGTTTTTAAAAGCCCTGAAAACCGAACCTCTAGCTCCCTGCACAGATGAGATGATAAGACCACGGTGTGGACGAGAACATCCCTCTCTAAGTCTCACGGCTGGGTGGATGGTCGCCGTCTGCGGCACCTGACCATTCTCCACTGCTCCCTGGCACGCAGCTTCTTCATCAGCAGGAGCTCGGCCGGGGCATCAGAGTCCAGCAGGGAGCAAGGGTGGGCTGCTCTCGGAAGTCGCCCTACATGGGCCTTCCTTCCCCTGGACGTCTGGCTACAGGATGCGGGGGGAGCACTCGGAGACAGTCTCCCTGCCGGGGTCCCGCCCTGAATCAGGCACTCTCAGCCCTGACTCACGGCCCCAGCCCTGAGCCTGGCCAAACTGCTCAACCACATCCAACCTCATCCTCCACCTGTCTCCCCGCTGCCGATCGAGTGCTCAGAGGTCAAGGACTCCCTCTCTGACCTCAACACCTGGCCAAGGGCCCAGCACATGGCAGGTGAACCACAGGTGTGAGACAGTGACCCACAGTCCATACCGATGTCCACGTCCTCAATCCCCAAACCTGTGCCTATGCAGATTTAAGAGCACACCCTGGCAGGTGTGCCTAAAGGAAGCCTGTTGAAAGGGAGGGATCTGTTTGTCTCAGTGCCATGGAATTAGGGGTCCTCAGAAGATGGTCAGGGTCAGAGAGATGTCTAAGGACGGGAGCAGAGTAGGGCGGAGCTGCCAGGCTGCTGGCTGTGAAGGTGACAGAGGGGGCCATGAGTCAGGGATGCAGGCAGCTTCCAGGAGCTGAAGAGGCAGGGAAAGTCTCCTCCAGGACCCGCAGGGGGACGCTGTCCTGGCGCCACCTCGATGCTCGACCAGTGAGACGACTCAGACTTCTGAGCGCTAGAACTGTAAGGTAACAGATCTGTACCGTTGGAGGGCACTAGCGCTGTTAGTCTGTTCAGGCAGCAGCAAGAAGGGAATACCACACACTAATACCAGCAGTTAAGAGTCACTTGGCCCTCCGCCGGTGCCGCGCATCCTGAAGCGCGCCTTCCCCAACAGTAGCGCATCAAGGCCGTCAGCACGAGCTCCACCTTCCAGAGAACACAGAGATGGAGGAGGCTGGGCTGCTCCCGGCCACGAGGCTCACAGAGGTGGCGCCAGGCTTCCACGGCAGCGCCTCCTGCAGACAGGCATTCGGGGTGTTTCCACCTGGCTGGCGTAACGCTGCCGTGACACTGGAGGAAAGACAGGTTTTATCTCAGCACCTGTCTGCAATTTTCCTTGGCGCACACCCAGGGTGGAAGTGCACTCACAGGCTTTGGCACCGCCAGGACTGTTCTCCAGAGAGGCAGCACCGTTTGCACCCCTGCGGTAGTGTGTGAGGTTCCAGTCTCTCCACACAGCAGTGTACACCCCTGCAGTAGTGTGAGGGTCCAGTCTCCCCACACAGCAGTATACACCCCTGCAGTAGTGTGAGGGTCCAGTCTCCCCACACAGCAGTATACACCCCTGCAGTAGTGTGAGGGTCCAGTCTCCCCACACAGCAGTGTACACCCCTGCAGTAGTGTGTGAGGTCCAATCTCCCCACACAGCAGTGTACACCCCTGCAGTAGTGTGTGAGGTTCCAGTCTCCCCACACAGCAGTGTACACCCCTGCAGTAGTGTGAGGGTCCAGTCTCCCCACACAGCAGTGTACACCCCTGCGGTAGTGTGTGAGGTCCACTCTCCCCACACAGCAGTGTACACCCCTGCAGTAGTGTGTGAGGTCCACTCTCCCCACACAGCAGTGTACACCCCTGCAGTAGTGTGTGAGGTCCAGTCTCCCCACACAGCAGTGTACACCCCTGCGGTAGTGTGTGAGGTCCACTCTCCCCACACAGCAGTGTACACCCCTGCAGTAGTGTGTGAGGTCCAATCTCCCCACACAGCAGTGTACACCCCTGCAGTAGTGTGTGAGGTTCCAGTCTCCCCACACAGCAGTGTACACCCCTGCAGTAGTGTGTGAGGTCCAGTCTCTCCACACAGCAGTGTACACCCCTGCAGTAGTGTGTGAGGTCCAGTCTCTCCACACAGCAGTGTACGCCCCTGCAGTAGTGTGTGAGGTCCACTCTCCCCTCACCTTGCCCATCACCTGAACATACCCCCTCTCTGCTCCCTTCCTGGCCACTCTTTCCTGAACACTAACTACGTTCCAGCAGGGGAGCCCTGCAGTCCCAGGCAGGCCCGAGGGCCACGCAGCTTCCACTCAACCTCTGCCCAACACTGGCTGTTGGACCTTCAGCAAACTGCTGGACGTTTCTGAATGTCAGAGACAATGCCCCCTCCCTCTCCTCATGGCTAGTTCTTGCAAGATTCTATTCCCTGGCTTTCTGTCTGTCCCCATCAAGGACATGAGCACCATGGTGCCTCCTCACGTCACCTCCTCGGTTTTGTTTGAAGTGAGAGTCATGTGACATCCAGCTGGCCTCGTTAAAACAAACTACTTAGTGGCATCTAGTATGCTGACAATAGTGTACAACCATCACCTCTATCCAGTTCTCAAATACTTTCTTTCATTTTTTTTTTATTTGACAGATAGAGTTAGTCAGAGACAGAGAGAAAGGTCTTCCTTCCGTTGGTTCACCCCCCAAATGGCCGCTATAGCCGGTACTGCACCAATCCAAAGCCAGGAGCCAGGTGCTTCCTCCCGGTCTCCCATGCGGGTGCAGGGCCCAAGCACTTGGGCCATCCTCCACTGCCTTCCCAGGCCACAGCAGAGAGCTGGACTGGAAGAGGAGCAACCGGGACTAGAACCTGGTGCCCACATGGGATGCCAGTGTTGCAGGCGGAGGATTAACCAAGTGAGCCATGGTGCTGGCCCCTCCCAAATAGTTTCACCACTCCTAGAGGAACCCCCACTCCCACAAGGCAGTTACTTCCCATCCCCCACACCACACCAGCCCCTGGGAACCACCAATCTGTTTTCTGTCTCTGTGGATTTGCCTGATCCGGACATTTCATATAAATGGGATCAAACAACACGTAAGTTTTAGTTTCTGGCTTCTGTCCTCAACGCCTGACTCAGGAGGCAAGCCTGCAGTTTTGGTTCTGCCTGATCCTAGGCCCTGTGCCATCCCGCTGTGGAACAGGACAGCCCACTGTGAGGCAACAGGTGAGAGAGTGCGGCAGGAGCAGGGGGCTCCCGGGGGCTGGGGGCTCACCTTTGTCAGGGCCTCCTCATTGCCCTCCACTTTCTTCCGGAGCCTGATGAGCTGCCACAGGTTCTGGGCAGGCTGGCCGGTCCCCTTGCTGCTCGCCAGCAGCTGGTCAGTCGAGGGCTGGTCCTGCAGCTCAGCCAGCTTGTTCTCCATCGTGTTGATGCGATCCACCACGTGGTCGAAGATGTTGCCGAGCCGCTTCATGGGGTTGAGGATGGGCTGGGTGTCTCCTTCCCTGGGCATGAACATGATCTGTGAGGTCTGGAGGAAGTCCTCGTCCCCCGAGAGGACCTTCGAGAGCTCGGCCAAGTGGATGTGCTCCAGGATGCCCTGCAGCACGAGATGCAGGGCCTTGAAGTTTACCACCCCGCACTGCGGGATGGCGATGTTGGCCAGCTCCATGAATGTGAGCGAGAAGCTCATCCTGAGACGGGTGTGCTGGCGGGGCTGGGTCCCAGGTCCTTCTGGACAAGCGGTAGCTGTCCGTGATCCCAAGGGCTGCACGGACAGGTGCTCAAGGAGGCAGCGAGTCACAGTGGTCCGGTAGGAATGGCCTCTATCCAGACTGGTGGAACACAGGGCCGAGGTTCTGGTTGCTAGGACACCAGAGAACACGGTCAGGTGGGCAAGTGCGCTAGCCCAGGGTGGGCGGAGCTCCTGCTCTATCAGTATTTGATGAGTCTGGACAGGGAACAGGAAGCTTGTTCGTTACAGCCTTTGATTACGTAAAACAGAAGACCCTTTCCAAGAAGTGCTTGGTGAACTGATAGGTAACTGGCCCCTCAGAAGTCTCTAAAATCAGGAAGATCGATTTCTTGGGGTTGGGAAGATCTAAGTGTTTTTTTTTTTTTTTTTTAAGTCAGAATTACACTGAGAGAGGAGAGGCAGAGAGAAAGCGAGAGAGAGAGAAGTCTTCCATCTGCTGGTTCACTCCCCAATTGGCTGCGATGGCTGGAGCTGCATCAAACTGAAGCCAGGAGCCAGGAGCCTCTTTCGGGTCTCCCACACGGCTGCAGGGGCCCAAGGACTTGGGCCATCTTCTACTGCTTTCCCAGGCCATAGCAGAGAGCTGGATCAGAAATGGAGCAGCCGAGTCTTGAATTGGCACCCATATGGGATGCCAGCGCTTCAGGCCAGGGTGTTAACCCGCTGTGCCACAGCACCACCCCCCTTATTTTTTTTTTAATATTTCTTTTTTATTTGAAAGGCAGTATTACAGAGAAAAGTAGAGGCAGAGAGAGATCTTCCATCTGCTGGTTCACTCACCAAATGGCCACAAAGGCTGCAGCTGGGCCGGTCGGAAGCCAGGAGCTAGGAGCCTCTTCCAGGTCTCCCACCTGGGTGCAGGGGTCAAGCACTTGGCACACAGCCATCTTCTGCTGCTTTCCCAGGCCATAGCAGAGAGCTGGATTGGAAATGGAGCAGCCAGGACTCTAACCAGCGCCCACATAGAATGCCGGCACTGCGGACGGCGGCTTTACCCGCTACACCACAGTGCTGGTCCAAGTGGCATCTTGACTATTGTGCAAATGCCTTCCCCAAGGCCTAGTTTTGAAGAAAAGAGGACAGAGAGAAAGATGAAGAACTCAGCTGGCTTCAAGACATGGCCTAATGCCCATCCAGGAATTCCAGTTTTCCATTCTATGTGCTCCGAGTCCTGGATGTCCTTGCTCGTCCAGAAAGCTCAAGTGATGACTTCCTCATCAAACTCTGCTCTCTCCTCTTTGAGCTGGGCTCCTGGGCAGGGTCTCAGCTCTGCTCTCAAAGTCTTAAGAACATGGTCTTGAGCCAGTTGCTGCAGAACTGGGAGGCAGGGTAGGGCCCTGCCATCAGTTCTGGGACAGGAGAAGGGTGGGCTGGTAGTCTGGCTCCTAGGGAATTCTGCAGGGAAGGCTCTCCACTCAACACCCAAGGCCCTGACTCTCGGCCTACAAAGCACTGCAGTCCCACGTTCTTGGCACACAGCATGAATCCCACTCACAGATTCTGCCAGCCGAGGGCCGAGCTCGCCTGGCTCCTCAGGGGTAACGCTGGACAGTGGGTAGCCAGTCTGCTCTGGGTTCGTGAGATGGAGCCCAAGTCCCTCTCTCACTGGCTGTGTCACCTTGTGCAAGTGACTCAGCTCCTCTGAGCCATGGCTTCCCCTAACTGCCACACAAGGAAATTAAACCCTTTCATTGGGGTTGCCACGATGGCCAAAAACGATACACAAGGGTACTTCAAAATGTTTGTGGAAAAATGTGAAGGGTTAAAAAGTTAAAAGCCGCTTCCCCCCCCCCCCCCGCCCCCAACCTCCTCTGGTGAACTTTCCTGACCTCGTTAGACTTGCTCTGCATAGCCATTCTCTATAAAGTTAATTGGTCAGTAAATTACCCCAATGTGAGTGTAACCTTAGTTTCACCTAAGTAAGATAGAAGAAGTCACCGTATATCTCTTTGCCTCCTGGAACCCTGACCCCACCAGGTGTCCCTTATCGCCATTCGGCTGCATTCCTAGGTATCATCAAGGCAGTTCCTGCAATCTTGTGTGGCCCTCCCTTTTGGCAATAGGAGGCTTTTTGATACTCCCTGTGTTCATAAATCAACTGATTGTAAAATCACTTAACTTGTATCAATTGTTTACTCTATACCACTGTCTGCTCTACGCAATGATTGATTTTCTTTGTTTAAACGTGTATAAAAACCCCAACCCAAGACTATTCGAGGCCGCTCGCCTGTACTGGGACGGGGGCCCCGACATGTCGGATCATCAATAAACTTTACCCTTTGTTAATTACATGAAAGAAGGTCTCTTGGAGCGTTTTTGGGGTGGCAAGAGCAATTCAACTCTAATTCAACTCTAACAAATGGAATTAGATGATAAATTAATTTTTGTGTAAACAATTTCAAAACCCATGCATAGTTTTTTTAAAAAGACATTTATTTATTTGAGAAGCAGAGTTACAGACAGAGATGTGGGGAGCAGGGCCTGTCTCCCGCAACATGGCGAAATAAGTACTGAGACTACCGAGACTAGACTAGACCACTGAGACTATTAAGACTAACTGTATGCATCTGATCTCCCATCATATGGCTCTGAGAGAGAGTAAACAAATCTTACACAGCTGCTTCGTTAATTAGCTGATTCCTGACCCAACCCCTGTTTGGAAAAAAGCGGCGTGCTCAGCACGTGGGCAGCAGAGCACGGATTGGTGGGAGAGGACTATAAAAGAGAGAGACAACATGTGGGGCCCCCCCCCCACCAAGAGAGTCGGTCAGAGAGCTCATTGGTGCCACTCCTCCGCGGAGGCGGGGGAGTGGCAGCAAATCTGGGAAGGACCGGGGAAAGAAAACAGCATCCAGTCCGGTGTCGTTCCTCCGCGAGTGGGGGAGCGACACAGAGAGAAAGGTCTTCCATCCACTGGTTCACTCCCCAAATGGCCGCAACGGCCGGAGCTGGGCCCATCTGAAGCCAGGAGTCAGGAGCTTCTTCCAAGTCTCAGTGTGAGTGCATGGGCCCAACCACTTGGGCCATCTTCCACTGCTTTCCAAGGCCATTAGCAGGGAGCTGGATTGGAAGTGGAGCAGCCAGGACTCGAACCAGCATCCATATGGAATGCCAGAGCTGCAGGTGGAAGCTTAACCTACTAAGCCACAGCAACAGCCCCTATAGTTTTTTCATAGTATGCATTTTCTATGAGCTTTCTGAATTCTGAAGACCCCTTATATGCCAGGTACCAGGCCAGTGCAGACTCAAAGGGCTCCCTTCCAGAGCCACCTGGTGTCCCACTCTGGCCGATGGCTGGGGCACTGGCACAACAGCCCAAGGAGAGTCGTTTTGAATTGACACAATTTTCAGGGATGTTGTTCACTAGTCCTGTGTTCTTGACCTCATGCAAACGCTGCTATGGAGGCCAGTACTGCTCCATCCATGAAACCCAGGAGGAACACTGGCCCCTCTGGGCCACAGGGCCAGTCTGTGCTCTTCAGACACACAGGCCTGCCGGGCAGGGACTGCCCACCTCCACACGGTGGGAAGGAAAGAGGGCTCCTGTCCGCTGTGTAAGGGATACGTACGGCCCCACTGCAGTCTAGGCCGCTGGGACACTGCTGCTTCTCTTTGGTAACAGCTTTATGGAGATGCAGTTCATGTACCGCACAAGTCACCCACACGAAGTACACAACGCGGTCACTTTTCGTGTGCTCCTAGATGTGTGCGAGCATGCCCATAATTAACCTGAGCACACGTCCGTCAAGACAGAAGGCAACGCCCCTCGGTGAGTGCACTCCCTCTCCAGCCCGGGCCCCACCCATGAAGCCACCAGTACCTTCTGCTTCCATGCGTCTGCCAGCTCTGGGCAGTTCAGACTGGTTTCTTGCTCAGCGCGAGTTCTCTGGGTCCATCTGTGTTGTCACATGCGTGTGTTGGTGCTTCGAGCTTTCCTGCGGCTGAGTGACATTCCACCGTCGGGGTGTGTGCCTCCGCCCACGGACACATGGGCTGTTTCCACCCCTGCTGGCCATGAATGCTGCTGCTGTGAGAAGCAGTGCACAGGTTTTGGCACAAGTCGTCAGAGCTCCTGCACACGTGGGTAGGTATACTGCTGGGTCCCCGGGTAACTGCGGGGACATTTAGAGGAACTGTCCTGCTATTTTACAGAGGGGCTGCCCCAGGTTACATTTCCCCTGGAAACGTGAGAGGGTCCCAATTTTTTTTTTTTTTTTTGACAGGCAGAGTGGACAGTGAGAGAGAGAGAGACAGAGAGAAAGGTCTTCCTTTTCTGTTGGTTCACCCTCCAATGGCTGCTGCGGCCAGTGCACCACACTGATCCGAGGCCAGGAGCCAGATGCTTCTCCTGGTCTCCCATGCAGGTGCAGGGCCCAAAGACTTGGGCCATCCTCCACTGCACTCCCGGGCCACAGCAGAGAGCTGGACTGGAAGAGGGGCAACCGGGGGAAGAATCCGGCGCCCCAGTACTGCCAGTACTGCAGGCAGAGGATTAGCCTATTGAGCCGCGGCGCCGGCCATAGGGTCCCAATTTCTCTACATCCTCACCAACACTTGCTAGTGCCTGTGTTCTTGATCCTACCCACCAGGCAGGTGGTGGACACTTCTAAATACTGTGGGTCCAGCAGTGTAAATAGTCGATGGCTAGGCTTTTAAACCCCCCCCCCCCTTTTAAATTTGAAAGGCAGATAGAGAGTGAGAAAGAGATCCTTCATCTGCTGGTTCACTCCCCAAATGCCTACAACAGTTAGGGCTGGGAGCCAAGAACTCAATCTAGTCTCCTATATGGATGGGAGGGAACAAAGTCCCCAATCACCTGCTGCCTCTCAAGGTGTGTGCATTAGCAGGAAGCCAGAACCTGAAGCGGGCCTGGGACCTCAACCCAAACACTCCAATATGAGATGCAAGCAATGTCTTAACCCCTCAGCCAAATGCCTGACTCTAGTGGGTTTGTTTGTTTGTTTGTTTTGGTAAAGCCTCTTGGCTTTCTAGAAAATACCAGCAGGATTTGTAGCAAGAACTCAAGGCTGAGGTTTGTCAGTTAAGGACTCTGGCTCTGGCTGGAGGATCTGGTACTACAACCAATGGCCAGTTTCTCTCTCTCTTCATT